TTGATTGAGGAATAGTTGTATGAGAACATTCACTTTGTAGAAACTCATCAGTTTCCACACTATGATTTGATAATTGTATACCTCTCTGTATTATGTTATATTTAAATTTATAAGTTTACCAAATGTGGAGTTTTCTTTTGGGGTGCTAAAAATGTTTTGAAACTAGATAGAAGCGGCAGTTGCACAACTTGTGAATGTGCCAAATGCCACTGAACTGTATACTTTACAACTGCAGTCCCCAACCCCGGGCCACGGACTGGTACTGGTCTGTGGCCTGTTAGGAACCAGGCAGCACGGCAGGAGATGAGTGGTGGGTGAGCAAGTGAAGCTTCGTCTGTATTTACAGCCGCTCCCCAGCGCTGGCATCGCCGCACAACCTCCACCTCCTGTCAGATCAGCCGCGGCATCAGATTCTCACAGGAGTGCGGACCCTACCGTAGACTGCCATGTGAGGGATCTAGGTTGTGCTCCTTATGAGAATCTAATGCCTGATGATCCGAGGTGGAGCTGAGGCGGCGATGCTAGCGCTGGGGAGCGGCTGCGAACACAGATTATCATTAGCAGGGAGGTTTGACTGCACAATAAATGCAATGTGCTTGAATCATCCCGAAACCATCCTTGACCCTGGTGGAAAAATTTGTCTTCCATGAAACTGATCCCTGGTGTCAAAAAGGTTGGGGGCCGCTGCTTTACAATGGTTAAGTTTATGTTGTCCAGTCATGGTGGTTCACGCCTGTAATCCTAGCACTCTGGGAGGCCAAGGAGGGAGGATGGCTTGAAGTCAGGAGTTCGAGACCAGCCTCAACAAGAGCAAGACCCCGTCTCTACTAAAAATAAAAAAATTAGCCAGGCATCATGGCGTCCACCTGTAGTCCCAGCTACTTGGGAGGCTGAGGGAGGATTGCTTGAGCCCAGGAGTTTGAGGTTGCTGTGAGCTAGGCTGACACCACAGCACTCTACTCATGGTGACAGAGTGAGACTCTGTCTCAAAAATAAAAAGTTTATGTTATATGTAAATTTCACCTCAATTCTTTTAAAAATGTTACCAAAAAATTCAACCTCAATAAAACAATGTACATATTTATTAGTAGATATTCATGACTATAAACATCGTAATACCAAACTTACCAACTACGGTGTCACCATCTAACAAATTATCATCTTCAGAAGTTTGGAAGTCCATAATAACACCTGCTCCATCTAAAAGCTCCTCATCACTACTCGCACTGGTTATACTGTTGTAGCTGTTTCTATAGTAGCCTCTATGGAACAGCTGCTCAGACTCCATTTAGCTGTCTGATTATCTGGAAAAAAAGGAGGGGGGAATGGTTTTAACATTTTCCAAACATATAATAAAAATCATCTAGCTTAACATCACAATGGAAAGTTATGATCTCCGTATTTAAAAAAAAAATTACATTCATTCACTGTAACAATAGCTGTATCTATTAAGTATTTTGGGGGTGATTTAATAATTTTATTCTCATTATACAGCTATAAAAAAATGAAGAACTTCAGGTTATGGTATAAAAGAATCTCTAAGATCAATTATTAAGTTAAAAAATGTAAAGTACAGAGAAATGTTTATAGTATGCTATAAAATATGTGGGGTTTTCCCCCACAAAAACAGGGGGAGGGAAGCAGAGGAAAAAACACAGTGCACAACTGTTTGTGTATGTATAGACTATCTCAGGAGGGATTTCCAAGAAAGCTGCCTGAAGGGAAGGGAACAATATGGCTCAAGTACCAGGTGTGAGAGAGAGACTATTCCTTTTGAATATTTTATCAAGTGCAAGTACTACCTAATTTTTTTTTTTTTTT